TTATTATTATTATTATTATTATTATTATTATTATTATTATTATTATTATTATTATTATTATTATTATTATTATTATTATTATTATTATTATTATTATTATTATTAATTATATTCCGGGATTTAATAATTTAAATGAATCGAAACTCCCCCCGCCTCCGACTTTTGCTCTCCTCCCTTCCTCCATCCTTCCCTTTCCCCCCGAAAAATGATTATTATTATCACGTGTCGTAAAATAGAAAAAAAAAATTTTTTTTTCTCTAAAATTTGACGACAAACTCAACGGTTGTGTTAACGGTCACGTAGAAAATTGTCCCAAATTTACAAAAATTTAATAATAATAATAATAATAATAATAATAATAATAATAATAATAATAATAATAATAATAATTAAATATTTAAAAAATAAATAAAAATCGGTATACTTTGTTCATCGAATGCCGTGATGATGATGATGATGATGATGATAATAATAATAATAATAATTACACGTCGCTTCCTTTTTTTTTTTTTTAAATATAATTTCTTTCTTTAAAAAAAAAAAAAAAAATAATTTCGAGTTATTTAATTCGAGTTCCCAACGTTTTCATTTTATTTCATACGCCATATTTTTTTTAAACTGCGTTATAATTACAACAAAAAAAATTTTTTTTATTTCGTTACGACAACCGGAACGCGGAAGTTTTCATTCAAAAAAAAATGTCCGACAACGTTATATATATTTTCGAACGTGTAAGTAGACACGTTATAAAAAAAAAGCTTCCGTATAAAATTACAAAGAGTTCACGTGTGTGAGACTTTTTTTTTCCTTTTTTTTCTTTTATAAGTATATAATTAACCTAAAATTTTACGTTTTTTTTTTTTTTTTTTTTTACGTTTTCTGAACTCGGTAAATAATTAAAACGGGGAAAACAATCCCCTCTCTCTCTCCCCCTTCCTCCCCCCCAAAAAAAAATAAATAAATAAAAATCCATTACGAAAATTAACGAATAATTTGTTTTAATATCAAAATAAATGAAAAATTTCACGATTATGAAAAAATAAACTTACGTAGT